AGGCCGAAGTTGTTGCAGGCTGTGGAAAAACTGTCCATCTCCGCTTGCATTTCTTGCTCATTGCTGGCATTGAGGGCACAGTCGTCAGCAAAGAGAAAGTCTCTAAGAATAGTTTCCTTCACCTTAGTAACGGCCTGCAGCCTCCTGGGGTTGAACAGTTTAAAATATAATATAATATAATATAATATTTCCCTTAATGCTTAAATTTTATTGAAGCATGAACTATGCTTCCATGTAATCCACCATTGCTCTGGTGCAGCAGTGGAGGGTTGAATTAAGCAACACCTAATTTGTCTACTACACACCTAAATGAATGACAGCATCTGCGGAAAAGGATGACAATGCAAGAAAGAAAGCCTTTGTCAAGTACCAGTCTGAATCAAGCCGTGCTATTGACCCAAGAATTCCAGGACGTTCTCCTTTGTACCCCTAAAGTAAAGGAGAGCAACGTCAGTAAAACTTGACACTAGACAATTGTTTAGTATTGAAGATGTACATTCCCACCAACTGTGGACAACTTTATTGAGCCAACCTAGGTTAGCATGCATTGCAGACAGTAAGCGACAGTATGTAGCGTCTGAGACTCAGGCTATCCTAGGAAAGTGAAATTATAAACAACAGTTTTGATCCCCTATTTCCATGTACATGTATTTTGATGCATACAACTACGGCTTTACTACAGTTACCTAACCATGATTCCCAGTAGGCATGTCTCATAGGGGAACTTGGCCATTCACTAATATATAAATATTTATGAATATGCAGTTTGGAAAATATCCCGATTTCATACTCCCCCCCAACAGAAGGCATTGGAATTTCCTGGCGGGTTGGGGAGGTCTCTAAGACCAACTAAAACATTTAAAGAAATGTATCAAGCTTAATTAGAATTTCGAGAGGGGTTGGGGGAGGGGGTCTTGGAATAAATCCCTTCCATGGGGGAGGTATNTCTGAGAATCGGGCTATCCTAGGAAAGTGAAATTATAAACAACAGTTTTAATCCCCTATTTCTATGTACATGTATTTTGATGCATGTACAACTATGGCTTTACCACGGTTACCTAACCATGATTCCCAGTAGGCATGTCTCATAGGGGAAATTGGCCATTCACTAATATATAAATATTTATGAATATGCAGTTCGGAAAATATCCCGATTTCATACTCTCCACCACAGAAGGGATTGGAATTTCCTGGCAGGTGGAAGGTCTCTATGACCAACTAAAGCATTTAAAGAAATGTATCAAGCTTAATTAGAATTTCGAGAGGGGTTGGGGGAGGGGGTCTTGGAATAAATCCCTTCCATGGGGGAGGTATGGATATTTTCTGGAACTTCGTGATGTACAACAATACCAAACACTTCTTAACTGCAGTCGTAAAATGATACACAACAGTATACAAGTACTAAATGGCAACTGCTTTCAGACAATCCTCCAAAAATTCAAGATTAAGTGAGATTATGTCAATGATTAAGAATAAGTTAGAACTACATTACTTTATCTACAACAAGGTTCCTTCATAAATTTGAATATGATGGAGAAGGTTTTGTAGAAGGCAGCACTGAGCATTTTCAGAGCCTCGGGCAAACAAACAAGATGGACCTACATGTGTATTATTTGGGTTTTTACCAGATGCATATGAAGCATTTATTTAATGCCAAAATCATCATCATTACAAATTATTTTAACAGAACACCATAACAAGAAGTGACAGACATATCATGTGGTCTTAAGTGAGGAATAAAATGCTGAAATTTGATGAACTGAGAGTATCTCAGTTCATTAAAACTCACTGTTTCCCACGAGACCAGTAATTAAGTGTTTTGTTATATCTCCCAACTCAAAAATGGAAAAAAAAACTGCACAGAAATCGTTTGCTTGAGGCAGCAGCTGCATGGCTCACAAATTTGCTGCGGATTCAAAGAGCACAACCTGATCATCTGCAAGTCAAAAGTTCAAGTTGTTGTTTCCCTAGGGAGTTAGTGAGTTTTGTCCACCCTAGGGAGTTAGTGAGTTTTGGCCCACGACATGTGACACACTCCCCTCTAATCACAAAACATATTTGAGTTGGGAGGTATAACAATAATCATTATTTAAACTTCTTATAAGTCACCTGGGCTTTGTACAAGCGACAGTCAACCAAACATGTAAAAAAACTAACTGGTTCACAGTCTCAAATTGTTAATTGACTTAAAGTTTTAAATGTCACCTGAATTTGTGAGTCAGAGACAAAAAGGAGATTTAATGAGTCACGGGAAGTCTTGGGGATACGCCAAGTACAGAATGCCCACCAAAAACATCCAAACTCTCCAACTGCCAGAACAATGAAAAGCAGAAACAAAGAGAACTTGAAAGCACAACTAAGCCAATACCGCTGCCACCGTCTGAACATGAAAACTGAAAAAAAGAACAGATTTAATCAATGATCTGTTTCTGGAGTGATTGAAAAATTATTAATATCAATTTGCTCAGTTACAAGTAGAATTACAGTGTAGTAGAGTTTCACACTGCACCTAACTTCCCCTGTTAAAAAACAAATTTAATAATTTAATAACCAGTCAGGCATCAACAATAGTTTTATTCACTTTAATTCTAAAAGGAGAACAGATCAATCAATCAATCAATCAAAGATCTTAATTATAATAACTTAACATAGACATTGCAAGTGTCAATCATTACCCTCAATCAATACCCTTAATCGACCCTAGATCGACACTCAATTGATACTTGATTGACACTCCATCGGCACCTTGACATTCCATTGACATCTCGGTTGACTGTCCGTTGAGACTTAACTAATTTTCAATCATTGCATGAGTTGGTCAACACTCAGCCAACCATCAACCCACTATCAACTGACTGTTGATCGAATGTCATTCGAGTGTCAATCAAGATGCTCATCGAGTGTCCATTGAGTGTCTATGAAATATCAATCACATGTCGATAAAGATAATGATTGAGAGTCGATTGAGGGTATGGATCAGCACTCAACCATAGATATGACATGATCCAGTGGAATTTTAAAAACTTGTCCACCGTATCATTTGGGAATAAGCTTGAAGACTATCAAATGGAAGTCTGAAAATGAATCAGGCTCATTCATAGTATTAACTGAGCTTTTTTTCTTTTTTTTTTCTCTCCGTAAGTATTTTTAGGCGGTCAGTTAACGGGATCACCATGGGGTCAGTGTTAAGTCGAAATCCAGTGTGTGTCCACTATTCACCCTATCATACGTAAGCTTAAGCTTATTTATAAAGCCTAATAAAATAAATAAAAGTTACCATAATACGATTAGTCAGTGGATTGGTAAGCTTTTAAGTATGTTTAACAAGAAACTAAAAGGACATTCGTACGGTTTAAATGCAACTTATCAACACAGCATTACAAAACTGTACTGCTAAATCAATGCAGCTCACCTATGAAAATTGAATATGACCAAAACCCGTTGTATCGCTTTGGTAATACAGTGTCTATTCAACCGGCATTTTGGACAAACCTAGATCCCAGGCTCTTCTTCCTTTTCGTAATCTGCGGGGGAGTAGTGGGTGGAGGCGCGAGGTAAAGGTACTGTAGCCCATTACCAGGGTGGTTTCGTGCAATTTTCACAGGTATTTTCACTGTTGATCGCAGTCTCAAGCAGGATATTTATATATCTCAATTTTGGCCGAAATCTAGAACAAAGCACTGCGATATCAGAATGATCTTCAACTACTCGGTAAGACCGAACGGTCCGTACTCGGGGTCCAGACGGGAAAATCCGGACCGCCGGCTGAGAAGCTGGAGAAAAAAAATTAATACTTTTCTTATAAACTCTTGGTCTTCGGCCATCGTAGCTTGATTGAAAATATAAAACAAACAGCGGTGATGAACATTTTAAAAACATGCATTTCATGAACTTGACGTCTCGTATGCTAGCCACATGTTATCACTGCTGTTTGTTTTATATTTTTGATCAAAATAGCTTTCTTATTCGGGCAAAATGATAACTTGCTCGAAGGCTCTCTGTTCGAGTTAGAGCAAAGAGTTCATGCACGATCGACGTGTGTCAAGGTTTTTTGGTCCACGCTGGGAGAACAAAGTAATGTTTTATGGAAAGAAGAGGGAAAAAATCTAGCTTGTCTTATTCAGATTCGATTCTACATCACAGATAGCCTGAGTACGGACTTTCCCGCGCGAGGACGCGCGAGTGCTTTTGTTTTTGGCGGCGAAGCGAGGCTTAGTTCCTTCGAGGGCGAATCCGCCACCAAATAAAAAAAATTTAGTCGCTCTTGAATCCTGCCAGCTACTATTACATAATCTGCGATCAGGCGTTCTTTTTTTGGCGAATGGGGAAAGAAGGAAAAAAGAACTGGCTACATCACAGATGATCACTCATTGTGGTCTTCCCTTCGAGAAACACGATACAATCAATTGCGCAATTCATCCAATGAGATTGTATCATCAGATCGATTGTGAATTCATACCGTTATAAATTTGAGGCTCCCCATGCTCTGAGGTTTTGTACCCCAACGAAATATGCTCAATTTGAGGCCGAAGTCTTCTCTTATAGACAAGATAACAAAAATTAATGTTTCGCAACTTAAACCACTACAGAATATAACGCTTGGAGCGCAAATTGTCGGCGACAAAGGTGAAACATTTGAGTCACACGCTTACTTCATCGCTGACAAAGATGGCGAGGTTGATGTTTGCCGTGACTCGTCTTTGGGAGGATCTTACAGCGGAGTTTCACCCATGGGATTGYTATGGAGCATGAAACCAGCACCGGGACAGAGAAAAGGAATTCGACTGATGAAATCAGATGTTACCAAACCGTACAACATCGTCTTGAACTGTTTTGATGACCATGTGACCCCGAACGAATCTTCACTGCAGCCCTTGTCAAGCGTGACCTTTCAGAAATGGCACATGGCCGAAGGAGTAAAAAGAATTCCAGTGAGAGAAGGAAGAATCCGTGGGACTTTGTTTCTTCCTCCGGGAGATGGACCTTTCCCTGGTAAAACTTCGATTTGATTTGACTATTATTATTTACCTCTTTATTCTTCCCTGTGGTTCGTTATTTATTTATTTATTCGTTCGTCATTTATTTATTTACTCGTGCGTTTGTTCCTCCGTCCATCCATTTATCCACGTGGCCATGCATCCATTCGTCTTACCTGTGTTACAGCCGCCCTCCGGAAAGGAAAAATCCTGTGTGTTGTCGTTGCTTAGTCGTGTTCCTTGCCTAAATTATCCAACCACTGAACTGAACCATTTCAATTCAGTGTCACAACAGATGACGTGACAGGTGTACACCACAACCCCCGGAATAATCTAGTCGTCCTCTTCGTTTTCTAAATTACAATTTCAAAAGTGTTGCTTGCTCTTGGCTTCAAATCACGCGACCAATCTTTTTCAAAAGATGAGTCCTTTTGCGGTAAATTTGGGAAATCTATCCAAAGCAAGCTCAAAAACGTCAGGAATACTGTAAAAGTTGGATTTCAGCCGGGCTTTTTATGTTAACACATTGACGCCTGTGCCGGCCGTGACCGGCCACGACGAGCGTTGGCCAAATTTGGCATCACTTATGCTCAAGTTTTGCAGGAGGAAAAGTTCTTTCTAGTAATACCCAGATCAGAGTGACAGGTTCAATTGAGCCGGAAATATAAATGAAACTGCTGAGAAATTTGGTTGAAAAACTCGGAGCAAAATTTCCCTCCACTGCACTTGGCTACTCCGTGGTAAGAATTGCCCGTCTTGATAATGCTTTCTCGGGAATTCTTGAACTGGAAGCAAGCCCAGCAGTAGCTCAACAACAGCAGCAAAAAGATAAAAAAAGGAGATAAAGAAAAGGCGAAAAAAAGTTTTGATTTCTGCGTATGCCCGAGCAAAAATGTCATAAAACGTGATGCTACAATCTCGTTCCCAGAGTCTTCGTTCCCCTTGACCAGCGGTCGGAAAACGAGAGCTCTGGGACCAACCATTTTGAAATGACCGAATTCTGCTCATCCAGTTTCACTGCGCAGTCTACATCTATGGCGCACGCCTGAAATGGTTGCTCCCAGAGCTCTCGTTTTCCGACCGCTGGTCAAGGGGAACGAAGACTCTAGGCACGAGATTGGTGATGCTAGTGAAAAGAAAGGCATGCTGTCATGTTGCAAATGCCGCTTTGAGTAGATTGGAGCTAATTTAGCTCATATCCAGGCTGAAAATGTCCAAAAAATGCATTTTTGCCAGAGAGCTCCAGGTGTCAAATTGCACTTTTAATCCCAGTTATTAAGGGGTTTCACAGTGGTCTAACGCACACACGTCATATTTCAACGCCGGTTTTCGTGGTCTTGAAGTTTGCAAGGGCTTGAAGCGAAAATGTGCCAGACTTTTGTAAGAAAACGTTATAAAACGAATAGTGGTAGATCTGGTCTGGACTGGGGAATTGAACGTCCAGTTCTGGCCATCTCTCTGTCACGCAACGCTACTGTCGTCCCTCCAGAGAAGGCAGCGCTGCGTGACAGACAGAGGGGCAGGCTTGGTCTAAGAAACTGAACTAAGGTAAGAAAAAGGTAATTCTGTAAGTTACTAACCCAAGTTGACTGCAATGTTATCGAGGTCACCTAAACTTTCATGGAAGTGATCATGAAACATCAAAACAAAAAATCAGACTCAAATTTGCACTCATATTCTCTGGCCCAATGGTTCACGTGCTGGGCTAGGGAACTAGCGGTCCGGGCTGACGAGCACTGGCCTGAGTCACTGCGTTGTTTTATTAGGGAGCTTAAGCAATGACAACGGCGACGCTAAGGACGACGCCTAACAAAAAAAAATGAATTTATATTTTACCTTCGAATTCGCAGATGTCTAGATCAGTTCAGTGCGCCATACCGGTCTCAGAACTTGCTCAGGCTTAATATGTAACGCCAGAAATACGCAAAACTAAAAATATACGCAGAACTTGGCTATTCCACGTTGTTGTTTTGGAAACGAAACCTAACAAATGTACAAAGATTTGCTCATTAAAGCTTTTGTTATGTGGCGTTTTCGTTGCCGTTACCGTCGTGGTTTGCCTAAGGTCCTTATTGACCGCTTATGCTACGGAAACTGGGATAAGCTCCAACGGTTTAGGCCACGTTAGCCTGGCGCCGACTTAACTCGTGTTACCAAACATATATCAGAATTATTCAGCATTATCCCTGCTAAAGACCAGTTTATTTACTAATTGCAATTCTGCAGGTGTGATAGAGATGTTGGGTGGCACTGGAGGACTTTGGGAATTCAAGGCTTCCCTTCTGGCATCGCACGGATTTGCAGCTCTTGCATTGGCCTACTTATCTTATGATGATATTCACGAATTGCCATCATCCATGGACATGGAGTACTTTGAGGAGGCAGCCAACTGGCTCAGCAGTCATCCTAAAGTCTTGCCGCATGGTATTGGCGTTCATGCCATTTGCTATGGATCCTGGGCCGCGTTGTTAATGGCAAGTCTTGGAATGAAAGCGGTCAAAGCCCTTGTGGCCATTTCACCCGTCATAAACGCTTTCCCCATACCATTTAGTTACAAAGGAAAGGTCTCGGAAATACTTCCTTTTGAAAATAGCCAGAAGATATCGACAAAAGAAGGTAGCATCTGGCGTTACGCCATTCCAGCAGTCAATGATGTCAGTACCCCAGTCTCTAACTACTCACCAATCACACCAGTCGAAAACATTTCCTGTCCTGTTCTTTTAGCCTATGGAACAGGTGACCTCAATGTTGGTTCTGACTTTGCTACAGAACTGATTTTTAATCGCCTGAAAGCCCATGGTAAGGAACGTTTGTGTTCTATTTTACGTTATCCCGAGGCGGGACATCTCATCGAGCCGCCGTACACTCCACACTGCTATTCCTCATTCTCCGGTATTACTGCCAAATGGTCTGGTGACCACTATCTAGTGTGGGGAGGGGAGATGAATGCTCATGCTAAAGCACAAGAGGACGCCTGGCCAAAGATCTTAAGGTTTCTGCGAATAAATCTTCAGCACTCGAGTAATTTGTAGAATGCAGCTAAAAGTTTAGAATAAAAGTGCACATGGGAACGATTTTCTTGTGAACTGGCGAATTTAGATGCGTACCGATGAGGTCGTGACTCGGGCGAAAACGTCCCACACACCATAAGCCATGGTGCCCTGATGGTGCCAACGCTTGGGCCTTAG